TGTTTGGTATATTCTTACTATAATTTTTTTTTCTTTAATGAGTTTCCTTTTCTCCAGGTGGTGGCAATGGGCATGTGGTGTATCCGTTCTCATGCCAATGTGTATCTGTGAGATGGGAAAGGAAGTCTTCTCTTGGGATCAGTCCTCATCAATGTACATGTGCAACATACTTGAGTGGCACAGGCACATTGATGGTATACTGTAGGTCTGTTCTGAACTGGTACCAGACTGGAATTGGATAGTTTTATGTTTTACATCTCCAAAAACAGTTACAATCTTAATTTCCTGAAGGAGTGTGACCTAAAAAGAGTCACTTTCCTGGTTACTTAGCTGCCTGGGATCAGGGCACCTTGATGTCCGACCTTTATAGAAAGCTGACAGCTGCAAATCTATATTACATGGAACTAGTGCCCATCCTGGCCCTTTAAAAAGGACTATTCCTTGTGGCCAATATTAGCATTTGAGATGCAATTGTACCCAAGAGGAAGACTTTTTGAATCAAGCTAACCTAATACGTGATCACTTCCTACAAAGAGACAATGTAAAAAATGTACTGAAAAAAAGCATTTAAAGAAGCATTTTTGAAATCACAAAACCCCCTGTTTGGTGAGACAATAAAAAAAATATCAGGGTAATTCTATGATACTCAAAGCCACATGCTCAATTGCATACTATCTTACAAAACCACTGGCATCTCCTCACAGATGATCCCATAGTTGCTAGACATGTAGAACCCAAACTAGAAATGACTTTCAGATGAGCCAGATCCCTCTGAGATCAGCTCACTGAAAGTCACTAAACAGAGCACAGTTTGGGACCTGAGGAGATACATAGGACAGGTACTTACACCTGTAGTTCTTGTACATATTGCCAATGGATACAAAAAAGTGAACGTATATTTATCCCCTATGGCCAGAGAAAGTTCCCCCACCATTATATAGATTGTCAAAGGGTTGTGGTAGTCTATCTTAAGAACGCAAACTAGAAATTACTTTCTGATGAGCTAGATCCCTCAGAGATCAGCTCACTCAAAGCCACTAAACAGAGCACAGTTTGGGACCTGAAGAGATACATAGGACAGGTACTTACACTTGTAGTTCTTGTACATATTTCCAATGGATACCAAAAAGTGAATTTACATTTATCCCCTACTGCCAGAGAATGTTCCCCCATCATATATAGATTGTCAAAGGGTTGCGGTAGTCTATCTTAAGATTTGTGAGTGGATATCATTTTACAGAGGTAACACCAAGTGTCCTTTTTGGAGGGTATTCTACAATCATGTATACCTTATTGGAAAAATACCATCCCCTGTCAGCAGGCAGGTGGGTTGGAATAAAAAGTGCAAATTAACACTGAATGGACAGCTGCTGGAGAGATAAACCTCAGCGGCTTCCTCTCCGGTAGCTGTCTGTTCCAATTGCGCAATTCACCACATCACATAGATAACTTTTTTCACTGAACGTTATTTGAAGTGTACAATTACACTTTATTCATGTCACTGTGCAGTGCCATATAATCTCGTACAGTGCAGCAAGTCTGTACTTTACCGCAGCTCATTGCGGATCAGCTCCGGGCTGCATTGCCATGTGAATGAGACACACAGAAAACAATTGTTCAGCATTTAAAATGCAGTAAAATGCCAGCCATTGCACATAGTGTGAATGCAGGGTAAATACAAGCATGTTTTCATGTTTATTTCTCCTACTGTCAAAAAAATTAAACAATGAGAATTCCCAAAATATACAAAAAATTCTCAGAACATAAAAAGAAAACATAAAGACCATTACCTTGGAAACACCTTAAGCCACCATAATTCTGCATACCTCAATTTGACTTATTCCCCTTTATATTTGAATTTAATCTAACCTGGCTTAAAACCTAAGTACAAACAGTGCAAAGGCCTTATGATACATTCCCCTATGGTGCCCCTGTCATCCTATGCCAGACTGTTTTTTTCTTGTTCAAAATGAGGCAACTATCAACAAAGAGAGCAATCTCATTCTATTAGGAAGTTCAAAATCTCCAGTATAATTGAGCTTGTCATGTTGTATAGGAAACTGTTCTCTTGGCCATCCCAGCTATTGTAATTGAATCATTAAAACAAAATATGTTGTAACCATATTATGAAGCTTGGCGGGTTAGGCTATAATTGGTGGAGGCTATAATGGGTGGCAACTATATAAACATGCAATATTTGTACCACAGGTATTATGGAAAAGAGTATAATCCAAACTGGCCATTTCTTTTTTACTGTAAAGTATACTAAAAAGAGAAATACTAAAAGTATTTTTAAACATAGGATGAGTAGAATTTATTGTATAGAATACAGATTCTTCAACCAGTACAGTAAAGCAACAAATATCTTTTTTGTGGTAGAAAACAAAACAAATCATATTTTTTAGTATACTTTATTACTTAAAACAGAAGAATACTAGACATTATCCAATCACAAAAGCAAAAATCAGTAGCATATACAATATATAAGTCAATATCAATCACTTGCCAAGTATCACTATAACTAGAAAGCTATAGTTTATTACATATAATGTACCCAAAAAGCAGGCTGAACAATTAATGCATAAAACAGATAAATCAATATACAGGATTGCCTCTTTGCCTCCATTGGCTTTCAAGGTAACATTTAATTATGTTTTAGTTGGCATGTGGCTTAATTTCTTAAAGTCTAATGTCTAGTGCTTTTTTGGTCCATATTCTCTTCAATGTTGGTGTGTTTTTGTGTCTGTTTATTATAAGATATTCATAGGCAATATATATTGAAGTTTAAGTGAAAGCTCACATCTTCATCTATGGGATCTGCAGGTTTTCAATGAGCTGGTATATGGATTTCCCCACTAGTATAGCTAATATATTATTATCTAGCTAAATATTATGTAACTAGCTAAATATTATGTATTTTGTCATCAACCCATCCACCCCCATTTTAGAAAACAAACTGTATGCTATGTCTTTAAATCACTTCACTATATACATTTTCAGATACAGGAGGGTGCATTAACATAACCTTTAGTGAACAGAAACCAAAGAAAAACATAATCACAAACTTGGCAGAATTAAGTCAGCATATATTCCACTCCAGCAGTGGGATGGCATCCTGTAGCTCAGTTGATCTCCTAATATTCTAAACAAATGTGTGTCAGGGGAGCACCACCCTTCCTCAGAGGTGAGAGGTCCTTGTCCTCATCAACATGAGGACATTGGTCTTTACCAGGGGGATCCAATCCTAGCAAGGTAGCCCTCTATGTGTAGGGCATGTGGCCTGGCATGGTTTGGGGGATGCACACTCCTTTCCACCCTTTTGTGACCAGCTAGGCTTCATGCTCAGATAAGGACAGGTAAGTAAGGGGAACTTACTTTTTTCCTAAATGTTTTGCTCCCTTTAAAATTCACACCAGACCTAACTAGGGGAAACCCAAAGTCATTTTTTTTGAACAATCTTTGCCCCTTTGCTTGGTTGGGAATTCTGGACCCTTTATGTGATTGGGTCCATCACCTGCACTCTCCGGTGTCCTTAACAACCATTAACAGTAAGAGGCTGTCATTTATAATAGTAGAAATAATACTGCTATTTTAAATGTCGTTCAGTTCCCACAAAATGAGTAAATGTTCAGGCAGTCATCTAAACACCTGAATAGCCAAAGTTTGGTCTAAACATGTGTTACCTTGAGTTTATCCCTAATAAAATCCCTAGCCTTGATCTATTCTGTCATGAAAACAAGTCAAAGGGAGTCATCTATGTGTAGCGCTACCTTCATGAGGGCCATTGTAAAATGACAGTCCCATTAGGTTGCCCTGACCTTGAAAGCCTTCTGACACCTCTGACATCCTGGGTTCAGACATACTGCACAAGTAGTCACGATTTCAAAGACACCAAATTGCAGTAAACAACTGAGCCGATATTTAATATATGCTATACACAAATTTTAAATAGAGTTCCCCTTTAATAAATGCACCAATGTGAGGCACAGAGTCCTTGGTTCGAAGAGCAATGAAAGGGAGTCTTGAAGGAACGAGTGTCCTGAATATCTTACTAGTGCAGTAGAGCCCAAAGAGATTGCTGTGCAATGGTGACCAGCAATCCATGATTATGTAGGTGAATGGCTCCAAGTAAAGGTGACAGATTTAAAATAAGACGTATAGTGAAGGTGTCTGCATGCAGTGTCCCTAGTGAAAAGTGTCCACAGTGTGAGCTGCAGCCTGCTCACCAATCCTGATAACACTGCGGCTCAAGGGATTCAGGATGTCCTGGAAGGGCTTCCACAGCATCTGCAACCAGCTTAAGAGTGTCAGGCCTAGCCCCATGCAACACTGGGTCTGTGGCAGTGATGCTGCTAACCAACTCTGGACAGTCACTGTCTGGACCACGTGGCCTACTAAACTCTCACAAGCAGCCAGGTCTCTCCTCTCAGCTTCAGCCCATGGTCCCAAGAGAGAGCACTTCCTCCGGGGTCTGATTTATACAGTATATCCTCTCCCAGCCAGCTGGAACTTGTTAGTTCATAACAGTATGGGTCCCTCTGCAAATCTACCCTTCTGAATCACATCCCACAATCCTTGGCTCTTTTGTTCGGCCCTTCTTTCTCTCTCTGTGCCTCTGAACAATATTTCACTCACAGTTAAACACAAGAGGGAGCACTAGCTCATTATAGTTATTCTTATGAATGTCTTGCGATGGCACAGGTAAGTTAGCCAGCACTGGGCTACATACAGTATGCACATACACAAGAACTGCTGTGCAGAAAAATGTCTGCAGGTTGTCAGGAGTCAGCACAGGAGATGACCAGATATATACAGCCACACATAGAAACTGGGACCAGGCCATATGCATATATCTTTAACCACCTTCCGCCCGCCCTATAGTACAATGACGGGAGCAAGGTGGTTCTCTCGTTCTGATAGGACGTCATATGACGTCCTTCCATTCTCACCTCGCATGCGCGGCTCAGGGAGCGTGCAGTGCAGCGATCACCGGTGCGCTGTGTCCCTCGGACACAGCGGATCACCGATCTACAGAAAGAGCCGAAGATGTTGGATCGGTCATGTGATCAGCTGTGTCCAATCACAGCTGATCACATGTAAACACCAAAATGCCGGTTATCGGCATTTCTCTCCTCTCGAGCTGTCACCTCGAGAGGAGAGGAGAGCCGGTAATCGGCTTTCCGCGGAGGGGACATGTACACTGATCGTCAGTGTGCCCTGATGATCAGTGTGCCCTGATGATCAGTGTGGCCCCAGAAGTGTCACATGCTAGTGCCCATCAGTGCCACATCAATACCACATATCAGTGCATACCAGAGCACATCAATAGCACATATCAGTGCCCATCTGAGCTGCCTTTCAATGTCACCCATCAGTGCCAGTCAGTGCCACCTATCAATGACAATCAGTGCCACCTATCAGTGCTGCCAGTCAGTGCCGCCTATCAGTGCCAGTCAGTGCCGCCTAACAGTGCCAGTCAGTGCCGCCTATCAGTGCCAGCCAGTGCCGCCGATCAGTGCCATATATCAGTGTCATCTATCAGTGCTGCCTTTCAGTGCCCATCAGTGATGCCTGTCAATGCCCATCAGTGCAACCTACCAGTGCCTCCTCATCAGTGCCCATCAGTGCCACCTATCAGTGTCCATTAGTGCAGCCTATCAGTGCTCATCACTGCAGTCTCATTAGCGCACATCAGTGAAGGAGAAAAATCACTTATTTACAAAATTGTATAACAAAAACTAAGAAAAAACATTTTTTTTTCAAAATTTACAGTGGTTTTTGGTTTAAGAAAAAATAAAAATCCCAGAGGTGATTAAATACCACCAACATAAAGCTCTATCTGTCTAAAAAAAATGATAAAAATTTCATATAGGTACAGTGTTGCATGACCGCGCAATTGTCATTCAAAGTGTGACAGCGCTGAAAGCTGGAAATTGGCCTGGGCAGGAAGGGGGTATGAGTGCCCTGTAGGCTAGCGGGGTTAAGTGAGATTTATTTTCATTGCACCATAAACATAAACATTGTTTATAGTGCAATGAAAATAAATCTCACTTTAAAGATATATGCATATGGTCTGGTCCCAGTTTCTATGTGTGGCTGTATATAAACATGAAAACGCATGAAAATCAAAACTGAACAACGAAAATGCAAAACCCCAACGTCTAACTAAATATACAAATATGTACAAGGGGGAAATACATGTGGCAGGGGGAATCCTGGGAAAGCAGATAGGAAGGAGGGAAACAAGGCTGAGAAGGGCAATGTAACAGGAAACTGGATACAGCGCAAAATCAAGAGCTATTTGGCAACAGAATCTGGTAGCAGTATGGCAAACAGATCTCAAGACAGGAGCAGCCAAAACACTGACACAAGGAATCACAGAAGAAGTGGAATCTAGGTACCTTCCCAGCAGGTGTGTCCAGGTGGAGCTGATTGCCGGGAGACACCTGCTGGTGGACACTAAAACTGCAGTTTTCCACCCAGCAGGAGAAACAGGTCATGACACAGGTGCTCTGAACTGAGGAGTCAAAATTTTAAAATATGTGGTTACAGAAGGTTCTTTGTTTGCCAAAGGCCTGGACAGTAGTGCAATGGCAGAAATCTGCAGGGAACAGAGAAGCATGGTAGAGTTTCCTTGCAGATTGGGGCTGCAGTTCTACACATAGAGTTGCAGATTTGGTCAGAATTAATAGTCTTTTCAAAAAAATGAAAATCACAGGAAGATATTTATCCATCATGCAATACCGTTATTGAGGCATCTAAATGTTCCCACATTCATTTTGCCCCAGGGCAATGACTTCAAACATAACAGTCAAAATCATAAAAGGCTATATTTAATGAAAAACTAACAAGGAGTCCTGAAAGACTTGGAACAACCTATCTGTAGAGTCCCTTAAAAAAACTGCATGCTAGTGTACCTATGTGAATTCATACTGTTTAAAGACAATTGGTGAAAAACTCCAATATTGATTTGATTTAATTTTTCTTCTGTTTAAGCACTTTATAGGTTGGTAATTGATGAATAAAAAAAATGTACACACACACGGATAGTATCAGAAAATGGAGCACTAGGGTTCAAGAGGCCCAACAGTGAATTGAGTGACATGCAGTCTATAAGGCACTTGTCTGGCAAGGCAAAAGATGGGAAGATGGGGTAGGAAGAGCCTCTGGCCTGCCTGGGGTTTTTTGCCAGAGGGAGGGTACCTAGGGAGTGTGAAACACTGAGGCCTGGTTCACACTACAAGCAGGCTGTGGGCTGGTTGCCGGTGCAGGAATCACGCCGGTTCCCGCACCCTCAGCCACCCACAGCTGCATCAGACACGTGAGGGTACCATTTATTCTGAATGGCACCCCTATTCATCTCATCCCACAGCGTAGGTTTCCCTGTGGATGCGCTTTGGAAAAGATGCATGCACCTTTTTCCCTGAAAGAAATGCAGGCACAGCAGCCCATTCAAGTGAATGGGCTGTCCTGCCCATGCAAACATGGGCCACATGGCCTGCACTAGTGTGAAAACCAGGCCTGAGAGAGGAGCGCAACCCAAGAGTTTGAGAGACCCATCAGCAGAGTTACAGTGAGTAGTAAGTGTGAAAAAGCATCTGGAAATACTGTCAATTCTTTTATTTGTATTTATTCTTTCCAATATTATGTGTGAAAGGCTGATCAAGTGTAAAACATAAGTTACTGTTATATTTTCAGAAGAAAGCCTATGCACAACAGTCAGTATTTGTCAGCCAAACTCAGTCAGTTTACAGGATTGGTTGTTTATACAGTCTGTAAGTTGTGTCGGTAATGCATGCTCTTCCTGCCGCCCTATAGCACAAATACTGCTACATGGTGGCACAGGTGCGCAAAATCACATATATATGTGATTTTGCATTTACGTGTAGGAGGTGTGCGCGAACTGCATGCACGCCCTACCCGCTATTTGTGGCCGTGGCTGTCAATCACCGGATCCCGGCCGGTGATTATTCGCCGATGCCCGGTGATTTATGACGATCTCCGACGGGGAGAACTGTTTTGTTTACTAACAGTCCCCCCTGTCAGCTCAGGCACACTGCTTTGGATGGCTGTGTACAGCACTGCCATCCAAAGCAGTGTACTTACAGGGAAGAACACGGACACCGCCCCCTAGTAAAACACTCCCAGCACACAGTTAACACTTTGATTGCCCCTCATGTTAACTCCTTTCTGCCCAGTGCAATTATTACAGTGTCAGCTCTTTTTTTTTAGCACTGATCACTGTATTGGTGTCACTGGGGATGTCAGTGACACCAAGTCAGTTCCCCCCAGTGTCAGAATGCCCGCAGCAGTCCCGCAGTCCCGCTATAAGTCGCTGATATATATATATATATATGAGGTAGCAGTAAAAGATAGTCCATTTGTCTGCATGTTTTCAGTTGGTCCAAACAAACTATTTACTTCACTAACAGTTGCAACAGCTGGGAGTGCTGTATAAACAGTATATAGCCTCAGATACATGCAGTATACAGTGGGTGTCCCAGCAGCAGAAATAGAAATTCCTGTCCATCTCCCAGAACAAAATCGAATCAGGCTGAATCCATGCTAAGCCATTCACAAGGCGCTTTGCATTCTAGGAGTCGGACATCGCGATGCCTCTCTGCCCCAGCCAATCCGAGGAAGCTTTGTATTCATTCATAGAATACAAAGTTCCCTGTGAATGGCTCAACTGCCCTGTACTTTTTGTACTATTTAAAATTAAATGGAACCTGGAGATCAGCTTTACACAACGTCTATGCCTGTATATGTTCGCAGTATTTTTGGCTGTATTACATTTGTCAAGCACAGTATGTTCTACAATGACAATTGTGTTTTGTTTGTTTTTTGCAGCACCACATGGACCTTCATTTACTATTGGAAAAGCTGTCTGGCTACTTTGGGGTTTGGTCTTCAATAATTCTGTACCTGTTCAAAATCCAAAAGGCACAACCAGCAAAATTATTGTGTCAATTTGGGCCTTCTTTGCTGTGATTTTTTTGGCAAGTTACACTGCCAACCTAGCTGCATTTATGATCCAAGAAGAATTTGTAGACCAGGTGACTGGACTTAGTGACAAAAAGGTATGGCTTATCTAATTAAAATATTCTGTTTTAAATATCTGTCCTTGTAAGATTATTATTTGTGCCAACAGCAAATATACAACCATAATATAGAGTATTCATTTTATTTTATTTATTATTTCTTTTCTCTTTACTTTATATCTTAGTTCAGCGGTCTCCAAATTGCAGCCCTTGCTTTTATCTAGCCCTTGGGGCACTATTTCATCCACTGATACCAACAATGGTGCATCATTCCTAACAATGATACCAGCAATGGGGCCCAATTTCTCCCAATGACACCAACAATGGGGCCCACTGACACCAATGATGGGGCAGGCATAATTCACCCAACTGACACAAATGATGGCACACTATTCCTCAATATGACACCAATTATGGGACACAATTTCTCTCAATGACACCAACAATGGGGCCCAATGACACTGCTGATGGGGCACAATTCCTCTCGCTGCACCAACGATGTGGCACAATTCTTCCCACTGACACCAAAGATGGGGCATTGTTTTTGCTCCACTGACATGGGGACCTTCTCTACTCTCAAAGGTCACAGCCCAACCCCCCTAAAGTCTGAAGTACAGTAAACTGACCCTTTGTCTAGAAAGTTTGGAGACCCCTGCTTTAGTTTATACTTTATACTACTTATATTCAATCTTTATTTGACATATAAATGTTTTATATGGAGAACACTCCATGTGCTAGGTCAGGGGTGGGCAAACTTTTTGACTTGAGGGCCGCAATGGGTTCATATATTGGACCCGGGGGCCGGACTAGCTGCTGGCCGGCCCAGCCACTACCATGCCATCCATAGTAAGTATAGTAATATTCCCCCATAGTAAGCATAGTAATTAATCCCCCATATAGTAATTCATCCCCCATAGTAATTCATCCCCCATAGTAATTCATCCCCCATATAGTAATTCATCCCCCCTATAGTAATTCATTCCCCATATTAATTCATCCCCCATATTAATTCATCCCTCATATAGTATTTCATCCCCCATAGTACTATTCCCCCCCAAGTAGTAAGCCAAGTCCCCCCTGTGTCAATTTACTTACCTTTGCTCCGCGCGTTCCTCTCGCCGTGTTCACGCGCCGTTCCTCCCCTCACGTTCGTCACGCTGCCCCGCCTACACACATCCTGACAGCCAATCACTGGCTATCAGGATGTGGGTGGCAGCGAGACTGGCCAATCATTGCATTTGAGCGCCCTGAATGATGCAAATGTTTGCCTGCCCTGGCTGTTTTTTTTTTTTGTATCACGCTCCGCGGGCCGGATTAAAAGGTCTGCCGGGCCGTATACGGCCCGCGGGCCGTAGTTTTCCCATTGCTGTGCTAGGTTCTTGACTATGTCACCCAATATGTGAAGACTGTATATCTTTTTCAAGCAAATTGTGCAGGAA